TTGTGTGACTTGAGGGCAAGTGGTTGGACTTTATTGTTTTTTGTTGGTTCTAAGGGTTGTGAACAGTACTGAAGTTATTGTTCACACCATGAACAATAACTAAAATTGAATATATTGTTGCCTTTTTTGCTTTATTCTGGTCTAGAAAGCTCAATTAACTATAGCCTATAGGTACTTGATTTTCCAGGTTGTTGGATTAATTTGTGATGAAATTTGAGTTGTTTAATCGGTAATCTGTTTATGCCTATTATCACTATCACAAGCTAAGACTCTATGTTATTGCTCAATTTGATGATTCTGAAGCATCTTCAATTGATTGTTTGGTGAAAACTTGGTGGACTTCTATTTTGTGTGTATTGATCTTTCTTCACTGGTGTTGGGCTTCATTCTCAGATTGTTGTTGTTGTATTCACTGCTCCCTGGTTTGTGGGTTTGGTGGGCTTCTTCTAGGGTATTAGTTTGCTACCCTTGTGATTGTGTTACTTGATTGTTGGGCTGAATTTTGTGTTTTGGATTTGGTTAATGTGATTTGATTCTTGTTATACAATTTTCGTTTGCTAGAGTTATGGCAAATAGAACTCTAATTCTCATCAGTTCATTAGTTTAAAATTGACTATGATTGTAAATCAGTTGCAGAAGCTTCTTCAACGGCCTCATATTCTCTCAATCTCTGCTTTCATAGGTTGGTTCACTTCGGGTCCTTTAGGTATATCTAGAACTGTCTAGGTTTTTCACTTAGGTACTACACATCACATGACCAGTGATTCTTCCTTTTTTGCATTTACCTTCTCTCATACCTCTTTATTTGCGCTTGCATCCAATAGTACTCAAATGTCATAGTCGATATTGGGTCTATTATTTGTCCGCAACTATTATTTCCTAATGTTTATCATATTCCGCAGCTCACCCTGAATTTGAATTCCGCTAGTTAGGTATTTAACTCTGGATTTTCAGTTCACTTTTCTTCTTGTCATTCTGTCGTGCAAGATCCACGTTCCAAGAAGTTGATTAGGATAGGTAATAAAAAGAGAAGGTTATGTGTTGGATGAATTGCATGTTTAATATATTGTTGCCTCTACTGTTGATTTGTCTTCTTTTTGAGTTCACAGTTTTTAAATTTTTATTTGTAGCATTCTCGTCTTGGTCATTTTTCTCATTTTCGTTTAAAATATTTGGTCTCTATTCGTAGTTTGAGTAATTTAAAGTGTCAGGACATTTCCAGCTATAGGGGATGTAAGTAAGCTAAATTATTGCCTTTTAATAAAAGTTCTACTAGCTCTCTTGTACCTTTTGATCTGATTCATTTTGATGTATGAGGAATTACTCCTATTCCTACAAAAAATGAGTGCAGATATTATGTCTCTTTCATTGATGACTATACTAGGTATGGTTGGGTCTATTAATGAAGCATTATTCTGAATTCTTTTCTATATTTTTTTTCGTGCTATGGTACGTACTCAATATTCCTTTGTTATTAAATGCTTTCAATGTGACAAAGGAGGAGAATATTCTTTTAATTTTCTTTTTAATCTGTTAAAATTTGTTGACACTATTTGTCAATCTTCTTGCATCAACACACCTTAATAGAATAGTGTAACAAAGCATAAACACTGATATATTGTGGAGACAACACTTTCTCACTTGTTTGCAAGTGTCTCAAGTTCTTTTTGGGGAAAAACAGTGCTTGTTGTAGTACATCTGATTAGTTGCATTTCCATTGTCATCACATCTAGAATCTCTCTCTTTGTACGCTAAGTCACCTAATTATTTCTCCTTATGAACGTTTGAATGCACATGTTTTGTCTTACTGTCTAGTGTCCTTTGTACTAAAGTATGCTCAGTGTGTTTCTTAATTATAGTGAGGGTCAAAATAAGTATCGTTGCTCTGATCTTGTTGCATACTGTCTCTCAACATTTTGCTTTCATGGAGTATATTTCTTTTTCTATTTCATCTAGTTTTTTCATATTTTCATAAATTTGGTCTCATTTACATTGATCCATTTCCAATTAATATTCCCTCTAACACTTATGTTGGTGATATGATTGTCAGTGATGTGCCATCCTCTTCTAATTTGCCCATCAATCATCCCAGTATTGTACATACTTATGCTTGTAGGACTCAAGTTGTCTCTTCAACAGACGTGGTGTCTCTCTCTTCTACTGTCACTCAGTCAGGTGCTAACAATGTGGATTATATTTCTCGCTATCTTGTAAATGTCCAGATCAGTTTAGTTTCTCCAACTCTTATTATTTACTGATTTTTGTTCTTTCATAACTTCTATACACTCTCTTTCCAACCTACCCTATAAAGAGACTGTTATTGATCCTCTTTGTAAACAAACTATGGACAAGGATTATTTTACATAAGACTGGCACATAAGAGCTTGTGTCATTACCCTCTGGCAAACGTGTGGCTGGTTGTAATATAAGTGAGTTTATAAAATTAAGACCAAATCTAATGATTTTGTAGAATAATACAAGGCTCAATTGGTAGCCAAGAAATTTACTCAGGAGTATGGCATAAATTATGAAGAGACATTTACTCCTATTGCGAAGATGACATATTTTGTACTGTGATTGCAGTAGTTGCTATTTGTCAATTGAGTCTCTCAAAGATGAATGTGAAAATTTTCTTTCCCGGGAGATTTAAGGAAGCCTCTATGGCTCCTCCAAGATTAACTGATAGTCATGGTCAAGTGTGCAAACTCCACAAGACATTATATGATTTTAAACAAGCTCCCAAGGTATGGTTTGCCATGTTCTTCAGTCATCTATGACTTGAATTTTTGTGGCAGTGACCATAATTCTGCTCATTTTGCGGCTCACTTTCTCAGATTCTATTATTCTCTTATTTTATATTTATGTTAACAATATGATTATTATAGGTAATGACATTGTTGGCATACAATTATTGAAAAATCAATTGTAGGATCATTTTGAGATAAAAGATTTAGATCAGCTCTAATATTTCTTAGGTATTGAGATTGCATTCTCTCCCCGAGGTTATCTCATCTCTTAGTCCAAGTATGAAACGATTGCAATTGATCAAATCTGTTCTCTTTGGCATTCAAGTTTATTGGTCTAACTGGTTTTTACTCCCTAAAGCCACTATTAAGATCAATTGAGATGATTATGAGATCCTTCCTAGGATGTTATTTAGCGAGTTCACTTATTAGATAACCGGACAATTGAGACACCCTTGGAGCTCAATGTTCCATATTCTTCTGCTAATGGCACTCTCTTGGTTGATCCTACTCTATATCACACTCTTATTGGGAGTCTGATGTATCTTACCATTACTCGTCCCGATATCTATTATATTGTTCACATTGTGATTTAGCTTGTTGTCTCACCTACAACTGTTCATTGGGTTGATATTCTACGCATTCTTCGGCATATTTGAGGTACTCTTCATCACAATCTATTATTTCCTTCGTTCTCTTAGGATTTACTCAAATGCTAGTTGGGGTGGCGACGCTACAAATTGCAAGTTCACCACTAGTTTCTATCTCTTTCTTGATTATTCTCTTATTTCTTGGAAAAGTAAAAAACAAACGATAATTGATCACTCTTTTGTTGAAGCTGAGTATCGTGTTATGGCATATACCACAGCTAAAATAGTCTAGTTGTGATGGCTACTTGTTGTTGCATCATTTTATCTGATTCTACTCATATGTATTGTAATATACTAATGTTATTCAGATTGATCAAAAATCGGTCTTCAGAGTACTAAACATATTGAAATTGACAACTACTTTGTGCGTCATCACCTTCAACTATGCACCATCTCTCTCCCCTTTCTTCCTTCTTCTTTATGAAGTCTTATACCATAGCGTATTTTCATTTTCTTCCCAGCTCTTGATGTTTTCTACTAATATCATGAATTTGAAGGGGGTATTAGAGTAGTCTAGTGTACTTAGTATTTTAGGGGTACTTTAGTCGTTTAATTTATTGTATGTTGTTCTACTATATAAGGGCCTCTATTATATATCTAAAGTTTTGATGTTGCACAGACTTATTGTGTCGTAATTATATTTTCTCTCTTTTTCTTCTGTTCTCTTTCTTTGATCAAAATTTACATCACTTGTTCAATATTTCATTGCATTGAGATTAGGTTCAAGTTGATTTGGTGTGGTCAGAGTCGGGGTTCAAGTTGAGACAAATGCATGTATGAAACAGGATGGTTAATGAATGGCATGTTTTTCTAAATTGTCTTGGTTTAAGTGTATTAATACATGATGCATGTGGGATGGGATAGAAGTGTATTAATACGGATATTCCACTAAGGCAGGTGCAATACCGACATTAGCAGTTCAAATGGCTAAGTAAGAGAGGTCTTAAGTTGTGATCCTAAAGGTTTTGATGTGGTTCACTATGTTATTATATTGCCAAGTTTCATGTATATGCAAGAAATGAATTGCTTATGCTATACAAGAGTTATGAAATATTTTCCTAATTGTAGACCATTATTGCATTATTGTTTATATATGTATAAGCGCGTTGTTAGCCAACCCTCCCCCCTTCCCCAAACACAACAAAGAGTTCTTGTCTTTTCAGTTGCTCTTAAGTAACAATCAAAATTTTGTTTCGGTGCATAATTTTGGTTAGTTAGAAAACGAAAACTTTTGAACAAGAAAAATTATTTTCAAAATATTGGTCGAAACACTTCGAAACATTCCAAAACGCCTTGAAATACAGAAATTGCAATATTCGTTTATTGATTGGCTTTGGCTTCCATGACAAATTTTGGTGGAAACGAAACGCAATTTTCATCCTTGCTCCAAAGAGGAAGGATCCACTACAAAGTCGAGTATGTAGAGGAAAGAAGGTCGAGATAAGAAAGTGATTGATATACGAGTTATACTGTAAATGATGTATGCTGACATGTTAGGTTTATAGGGATGTCGGTAATGCTCCACCTTGGGAAGGTGCAGCTGGCCTTAACCAGGGTGCAGTGTGATAGCAAGCACACAAGCAATAGTAAATGGCAATATGCATACCTCTTCAACAATCCTGTAAACTTCAACAATTGAACTTCCATGCCGCTGCTGAGGTGATATTGGATCCCACCGCTGCACAATATTTAACCAAAGAATTACTCCACAAAATTGGAAATAATCTAAAATGGAGGAAAAAAACAGCTCATACTTATATGAGCAAATGAAGACAATATCAACCGATACCAGCTCAATAATAATAGTCACAACATTGAATGCCCAAGTTATTAAATTGTCATGTCAGGAAGACTGCCTAGAGAAAATAAGACGAAAGAACAAACCACCACATGCACATGGCATAGGGAGATGGACTAATAACTTGACCTCTATTTACTTAGAATTCTGTTGTGTTTTTAACGATATGCATATGAAAGCAAGCTCTTACTATTTCTCTTACAATGTGCTGCAATGCACGAAAACAAGTCAAAGTTTCCATAGGCAAACCTACAACCAACTGCTGCTGGGCTTCAAGTCTCCTTGATTTAAGTTAGACTAGCACTTCTAAATGTTTTTAGGACATAACCCAACAAGAAAATTCTGTGATTAGATTAGATTACAATTCTAAAAAGAAATAAAAAAAAAAGTACTCCAACTTTACCGCAGAACACCCTACGTTAGACAAACATCTAATCTCAGGAAATCTTTAAAAAATGAGCTAAAATGTAGAAATATTTAGGCATTTTGCACATCCTAATTTCTGGAGTTTAGATACATAGGAGTCTGATATTCGCATCATCGACAAATACCATGGTTCATGTGAGATAAGTGACAAAGGTTTCAGTAACTCATAAATGACACATCGTAAAAACAGGAAATTTCACAAGGTTCAACCATTATTTTATGCCAAGAAGATTGAATTGCAAACATCTTCTAGGTAATCATCTTTTCTAGATGTACATAAACAAGAGACACATTAAAAATAGAGATAAGCTGGCAGGTAAGGCTTTTCTTTGTCAGTGGGTTTCCAAGATCTCTTTGCTAGTCAACTCACTGAATGTCTAAAAATGGAGTCATGTTCCCAATCGATAATTAATGATCAAAACAAACAGTGTGGATGTAATACGGAAGCTCATACGATTCATGGGATGAAATTGCTCCTCATAATTGTTAAGAGGCAACTAACATCAAACCAATTTGCAACTAGTGGAGAGGGTCCTCAACATATAAACCACCTTGGGTAATGAGGGAGAAATGCGCAAGTATCGAATGCACACCCATTTGGCATTGCTATAAACAAACTCAAGTAATTACCTCCTGTTGAATAGCACGCTCAACCCAACCTAATATCCTTCCCAGTTGTGAATTGACCCAACGCAACACCACTGTCCCAGATATAGTTTCAATCTGAAAAAGAAATGAAAAACGAAACGTTAAGAACAGATATAAAAGAAGTTACAAAGAAACAAGGTTGATCGTACTAGAAAGCCTGAACACAAAAGGTTTTTCACCGAAGAATCTAATTTCGTAGCAAACAGCAAAAGCATAAATCAAAAACACTCTTCGGCTTTGCTTACACAGAGGAAACACGAGAGGGTATATGACATCTGCACTGGCAATGAAAGTATAGCTACGGTAATGGAAAGACATAAAGGTGGCAATAGGGCTGCAAAGGAACTAAGTCGGTCAGTTGAGCTGGGCTCATTTGTGCCTCGCTTGAGCTCCTTTCAGACGGAACAACCTGAGCGCGACCTTGGTGTATAGGCTTGATTATTAAACGCCCAGCCTAAGCTGGCACAAGCTCCGATCAGTGCAGCTTGCGAAGATGGGGGTAGTGGCATGCTTCTTAATCTGAGAATATATGGTATTTTGTTGCGTGTTGCATGCGTATATACTGTCAGATGGGACCCCAAGTTTATCCTATTATCCCTTTGTGTCAGTGCACCAAGTGGCATATCTTTCAAGCACAACAGGTCAATTACATCACATAATCACCCTTCTATTTGTCACACTGCAAAACTTTGAATTGAATTGAATAATATAGTAATTATATCTATTTAGTCCAGTCTTTTTGTTATTGTACGGTATAGTATATATTGTCTCTTGTACTCATTTTCATTATTGATGGAATATTAGAGTCATTCCTGTTTTTGCAAGCTTTCACAGTATCAGAGCCACTCTCTTGCAATTGAGTAACCATTGATCAGTTGTTGCTTAATATTTCGAAGCCAAGGCAGCACCACAATCAGAAATAAATCCAATGAAGAGAATGCAGTGTGTGAACAGTACCTGTCACTATCCATGAACAGTACCCATAACGGGCAATTCTTTAGAATTACTACAGCTTTCCCATTCCCTTTGATAATATACAAAAAATGTCTCTTCCACTTTCCTACCAAATCTATCTAGTGTTCACTGCTCATGAACAGTAGTAATACTTGGGAGTCCAACATGGTTGTCTTCATATCTTTTTGTTGTATTTTCTAGCATAATGGTTTCAGGTTTTTGTGGCCGTTCGATACACCAAAATCCTAATTTTCAGTGCATCATCTAGAATTTGGTATGTCAGAAATCAAAGCTTTTTGCTACAATTGGTGGCAAGACCCTTAGTTATTGTCAGCTACTGTTGTAGGTTAAAAAAAAAACAGGTTTGGTTTTGAAATAACAATCATGGAAGGATGGAAAAAGTCAAGATCTAGATTTGTGTTTCTGAATCGACCTCACGAGTTTTAAAGAACTGCAACCATGGGATATGAAAATTCAATTGTTAGACCATCTGCAAAAGATCAATTCCAATTAGTCCCTTCTTCGTCTTTCATTGCCGAGTACTTTGGAAACTTCTATCTACAAATAAGCCTAATGTCTCATCTCCTATAAATTTGCCTTCATCAACATGTTCACGAATCTTTTGCTCCACTCCGGTTTTTTATTCAGATCATATACGCCATATAACTAATAATCTATCTTTACTTCTTTCTACCTCATCTCCCCCTCCCTTTCTTGTTCTAGTTGCCAATAGAACTTTCATATCAGTGGTAGGTGTTGAATCTATTATGACTTCACCTCTCTTTATGATGTTTATTGGATCCCTCAACTATCTCTCAATTTGATTTCTATTAGTCGATCTTGCTTAATTGTTCAACTCTCCACCACTAGTTGTTTTGTGCAGCATCCTCATTCTAAAAAGTTGATTGGGACTGTCAGAGTTGGAAAATTATATGGAGTAGAAAATTTGTTTCAGGCGTGGCTACCTCTTCTATTGATTTACCTTTCTTTCGTTTGAACCCTAAGTCTTCCACATTTTATTTATGTCATTCTCATCTTTGCATATTTCTAATTCTTGTTTTGATTTTTTAGTTTCTACTAAATCTTTAGGAAATGTAAGCAATGTTTTTGATTGTAGTGGCTAAAACTTGACAAATTCACGACTTTACCTTTTTAAGAATTGCTCCACTTCTTCTTATGCTCCTTTAGACCTTGTGCATTCTGATGTGTGGGGTCTTGCCCCCATTGTCACCAAAATGGGGGTCTTGATGCTACGTTTCATTTATTGATGATTAATTTGATATTCATGGACTTATCTCATTAAAGTAGAAATATGAATTTTTCTATTTTTGTTGCTTTTCGATCCATGATTTACACAAAGTATTACGCAGTTACAGCTATTAAATGTATTCGGCCTAATTTGAATAAGGATGTAGATATTTCATTTTCTTTATTTTTTTGAAATCTAATGGAACTATTTATCAGTCCTCTTATGCAAACACTATTCGACATTCCAGCCATTCATTCGCAAGTGACTTATAAGATGTGAGAGAGGCTCTAAGTCATAACAAGGAAGGTCGGGAACTTCACTCTAATAGGGGATGGTTTTCCCCTCAATAAAAAAAATGAAAGGCTACTTCTTGGATATTTTTTTAAATTGAGAACTCAATATGAAAGCAATGGTGTGACTGAGTGAAAGCACAGACACATTATGGAGATTAATCATTCACTGCTTTTATATGCGTCTGCCAGCTCTTGTTAAAGATGTTTTTCATATAATTAATAAGATTCCATCTATTATTTTTTTGATAAAAGAAGAAATTTTATTAGAAAAAATAATCAAAAAACAAAATACATTGTGGAGGACAAGATATCCTCAAGAAGAATAAAAAAAATAATATACATCAATTAATAGCTATATGGTTAAAGAAAACAAGGCCGCATTCCAATCCCGTTGAAGGCTTGACAGAAGCAACCTTGTAAAACTCCAAGTGGTTTTGGTCCATAGAAAAGCCATAAAAACAACTATTTTCCATAATAACCCTAAAGAAAGAATATGACTATTAAATATTCTTGCATTTCTCTCCATCCAAATACACCAAAGAAGTGTCATCAAAGCACAATTCCATGATAGCTTTGCTTCCTTTTCTTTCCAAAACCCCAAAACTTAATCTGCAATAACATTTCCACTACTGAAGCACACACCCAAACCTCACTAGCTAGCTTCAATAAATTATTCCACAACCCCAATGCAAAAATGTATTGAATAAATAAATGATAAATGAGCATCCATCTCTTCACTATTCAAACAAAAAAGACAAATATAAGGACTCAAAGATTTATAGGGCCTCCAAATCTACAACAAATCGTTAGTGTTCACCCAATTAAAGACAACAAACCAAGCAAAAGCCTTAATTTTTTATGGAAATTTGACTTTCCAAATAAATTTGATAAGGAAAAAGACTCGGTGTTTTGGGACTAACAAAATGTGAGTAGAAGGATTTGCAAGAAAATAGCTTCTCAATCATTAAGATTTCTAAACAAAATGAAAATCTCATGAATAAGAGGTTATCCCCAAAACAAGAAAAGATGATATATGACCCTCATGGAGTGAAGACAAATGATAAAGACATGAAAAAATACTATAAAAAGATGAATCTCCCATCCATATATCTTTCCAAAATAGAATTGTAGATCCATCTCCAACCTTATACCAAGACAAATGAAGAAAAAAAGGATAAACTTGTGAAATGAACTTCTAAAGGCTCATATGGGTCACAGTATGCCTTGGTTTAGTATCTCACTCATTTCTCTGAAGACCATACCTACTCCTAATTATCTTATACCAAAGGCAGTTAGGTTCTAACGGAAATTTATAACCATTTACATACAAGAGAAATGGTTTTTGACATCGAATTACCAATTCATAATCTTTTTTCGTCTATGGCTTACAAACTATTTTTCAACTCACTAAATGATCCCCCTTTATCATCTTCGACCACATACCAAAGAAAGTCCCTCATCATCTTCTTTAATTTTCTAAAAACTACTACTGGGAATCGAAACACATACAAATAAGGGAATGCTAGACAAACAAACCTTTATCAAAGTGATCCTCCCTCCAAGAGAGAAATATATCCTTTTTCATCCATCCAATCTTTTATTTGTTCTTTCTAGAATGGGGATTCAAAAAGATAATGATCTAAAGTTTCCCCTCAGTGTAATCCTAGATACATCATAAGCCAAACATGGGATTCCTTCTATTATTACTTCCAGTGTTTTCCTTTTAAATAGTTACGTCGTCAACCTCCTAATTACTTCATATTGCGAGAGTCTAGTAGTACTTCTTTTGTTTTGATTCCCAAAACTGAACGAAAGGAAGTTATTTACTCATTCTACTATGTGTGTTTTTCTTGATTATGGTGAAATACAAAAGGAGTATTATTGTTATGACCTTGTTATCAAAAGATTGTATGTATCTAGAGATGTGGTCTTTCTTGTGCATATTCCTTTATTTTTCATTCCTTCTACTTCTAACAAATTTAATAAATCTGATCTTATTTATATTAACCCATTCCTTGATGATATTTCTGATGATCTCATATTCATGACATGCTCAATTATGTCATTCAGTCTTTGCCTTAGTCTTCATCTTCCACATTTTAGTATCGTCCTATTGTTCAAATATATTCTTGAAGGAACAAAACTAACTCATTTGCATGTACATTATACCTCTTTCGACTATGTCTCCACCTGCTTCTCATGATACAGATCCTCCTTCTTCTCATTATTCTAAGCATATTCGTAAGTGTTCTACTAGCCTTGGTTTGTCTCACACTTGATATTCCTCTGATTTTTATTCATTTTTACTTTTTATTCACTCCCTGTTAGAGCCTACCTCCAATAAGGATGTTGTTCTTGATCTTATTTGGCAAAAGACTATGAATGCAGAACTTTCTCCATTACATGAAACGTTGACATAGGATCTTTTGTCTTAACCTATTGGTAAGTGTGCTATTGGTTCGCTGCAGGTATCTGATTAAAACTAAAGTTGATTGCTCTGTTGAAAGACATAAAGCCATATGAGTTGACAAGTGTTTTGAATAGGAATATGGCATTGATTATGAGGTGTTTTTAGTTTCTCTTACAAAGATGATCATTGTTCGTACTTAGATTGTTGTAGTAGTTGTTCACTTGTTCGCCAATGGAAACTATCTCAAATGGAAGTGAAAAATATTTTTTTTAAAATGGTGATTATGACGAAGAGGATTTTATGATTTATATTCCTAGTCTCTGTCATGCTTTAGGTGAGGTATGAAAACTTAGAAAAGCTTTGTACAAATTGTGACTACCTTTTTTTTTTTAGTGAGCATGATTCTGGTCCTTTCCTCTTCTATGGTGTTGATATGATTACTATTCGAGGTGATTATGAAGGCTTTTCACTCTTGAAGGCTAAGTTACAACAACAGTTTGAGATTAAGGACCTTAGACCCCTTCGATATTTTCCAAGTATTGAAGTAGTTTCGTCGTCCAAGGGTTATGCTCTTTCTTAGTCGAAGTATGCAACCAATGTCATCTATAGGCCTCAAGTAACAGATTCTCAAGCTTAATGTACATTACAATTCTACTAAGTTTCCCTTCGGTTGATCCTACATTGTATCGAGATCTTGATGGTAATATATTCTATCTTATTATTATACAACCTAATATTACCTATGTTATGAGTCAGCTTGTCTCTTCCCCAACTACAATGCATTAGGCTTGCAATTCTTCACATTTTGCGCCAATCTTAGAGGCACTTTACATCAGAGCTTGCTGTTCTCTGCCACTTCTTTGGTGCTTCGTATTTTTTTTTAATGATGACTACGTAAACGATGCATGGATTATAAATCCACCATTGATTTTTGTGTCTTTCTAAGTGATTTTCATACTTCTTAGAAAAAAAGTAGATTATTGTCACTCATTCTACTATTGAGGCTGAATATCAGATGGTTCAAGGTCGCGGTATCGACCATCAACTCAGAGAACTCTAAAACACATTGACCGTGGCGCGATATCAGGCAATACAGCCTAAAAAAAATGTTGAACATACCGTAAAATTCTAGTAATATTGCGATATCATAGAACCGTATCAGCCAATTCGGTAATGATATTTCGGCGACTCGAATTGGCTCGAATACAACTTGGATAACTTAGTCGAGTTGTGCGAGACTCGGCATTTATACGTATCCTGTAACGGCATCGTCTTCGAAGGTGTCGAGACAGATACGACTCGATCAACTCATATCAGTATTGGCCGATATTTTGAACCATGGAATATCATGTAATGGCTACTATTACATCAAAGAGAGTTTAGTTGAGATGGTTGCTTGCCGATTTAAGCATTTCCTTTTCTATTTCTACTTCTAAGCATTATGATAATAAAAGTATCATTCAAACTCTACACAACTCTATTTCTCTTGAGCGGACAGTACTTTGAAATTGACAATCATTTTGTATACCACTATCTTCAGCTTAGGACAATTTCCTTCCCTTTTGTTTCCTTTACTATATAGTTCGCTAATTTATTTACAAAGTCTAAGACCATATTATGTTTTTCTTCTTGAGAAATTCTCAATGTCTGCTAAGTCACATTATTAGTTGAGAAGGTGCATTAAGAGTGCAATTATATCTATTTCCCAATAGGATTAGTCTTGTCTTTTTGTTTATCACAGGGCTTGCTAAGTATTGCCTTCCTCTTTGCATGTTTGATCTAAGCTTTTAGTTTGGATGTCTGGAAAGTGCACCACAAATATACATCTACAATTAGAAGTAGTCATATAATTTTTTTCATTGGATCATTCATGGACACATGCAATCTCTAGACAACATAATTGCGATTATTCAAAAAGGCAAATGCGTTAACTTGGAAAAGTTAAAATTCAACTGCATGGTTATGGTTATATGGGCATCACTACACACTAAAGCCTAGGTAGATCATACACGCCGAGAGTAACACAAAACTAGAGGTAACGCTACTGTTCAAATTACAAGCAAATCATACATTGTACATACATATAAACATTAAGAGATTAAGGTGTGACAGCAAGTGTTTAAAAGATTCAACAGACTCCTTTCCTTCCTTTGTTCTTCTCATTTCTTCTTTCAACTTCTCCATCTTTCTTTATTTCTCAAAGATGAAGAATCACAACTCAGTAAAATAGTTGATTCCGTCAGAAACTAGAAAATAAAGAAACAATAATGTTGGAAGTTAGAACTAGTTGACGTCAGTACACCTTCACATGTATACATAGGTGTGTACACAAGCATAGAAGATATATATGCACATTAGTTTGTTCTTATGTGGAACTAAATGGAAGCATAAGTGCAAGGCTATGAGGAATGAATGCTCCTTGAGAAGTAAGATTATTGAAAACAAAAAATAATAATAATATATATATATATAGATACATATTCCAGTAAAAAAAAGATATAGGCAAGTCTTTGGGTAGAAATGTATGTGATTTTCATTTATTCAAAAAATCTGTGTAAAACATCTAACAAGCAACCAAATGCAAGAGTCTGGACAAATAGTCAGCAAAATGTTTTTCATAGAAATAAATTGAGCCTTCATGAAAAACACTAGAATATAGGCTGAGGGCTCATTAGTTGAGCAGAATCACAGGTGACAACTAGAGTGCTTTAGTGGATCCTAGGAGACACAAGGCAGGTGGGGAAGCTTGTCCGCTTGTCTAGCACACAGCAAATTCCGCATGCAATCAATGTAGTCAGCCAGTTTATGCATGCTTCTAGAACTGTTAAACTTAGGATGGTGCATTGCTGTTTCCTACACATGGTTGTATGCTAGCAAAACCCTACATTTCTGAAGATTGCATAGGAGCTCTTAGTTCTTACTAAAGTAAGTACTCCCTTTCTGGTTCCAATTAATGGAGGTCTGGGAGGAGTGGACAGGTACAGATCTAACATTCAACATTATTTTGCCCCACACTACTAAACTCATATTCAAACCCACAACCTTCAGGTTATGGAATTGAATTTAAACCACTAAACCAAGGACTCCCCTCGTTACTAACATAATCAATACCTGGTTACTCGTTTGGGAAACTATTGGGTGACTGGGCATAGTTAAAAACAGCCTGTAGCTGAAGGCATCTTTGCCTGGATTTTGTGGGCAGACACTGACAACTAAGAGCCCAGAATACTTGGTTATGATGATGCAGAAGGTAAGATGATGAACACTAGGACAACTCCATTCAGAGAGTCAGAAGGAACCTATTGGAGTACACATGCACATCAAGAAACAGATTCAAGTAGGGATTTATTTCTTGTGCAAACAAGACAATTCAATATCTAACTTGTAGACTTATTGACTGAAGTTTAATATATAGCTGCTTTATGTGCATCTAATGATTGTTGAGCCTCTGTGAAATCACTAAAGATAGGCCTCCATGAAATCCATTCATCAGCTTGAAAAGAAGTATACATCTTTTGATTCCATTGACAGCAAAAAAGAAATATACTTTTCTGAGGGTTAATTTTCTATTTCTCGGCAATGCATCAGATCATACAAAAGGGGGACCTGAAGCTCCATCATAGATCATGCCACACCCTCCCCAAAAAAAACTACAAAAATAAATCTCCATTACTCCCACTGTCGAAATTGGAGTCCCAACTCAAAATCAAAGTCCCTCTTCAGGACTTTAATTTTTTGAAAAGAAATGGATTAAATCCATCTCACGCATGGACTAGATTGAAAGTTTCCAAGTCTACCCTTCAAAGGTCACATTTCACATCATTTGCTTGTATAGAAACTTGCCAAACCACTTTAAATGGATAAATTAGGAAGTACAATAAATCTCTCACGTTGGCTTTTCAAAGTAGACAATGCTTTTGGGAAATTCAAAAAACTAAGAATGGACCCCAAGCATGGGACGGAGGGAGTCAAGTGACTAATAGAACAGTAAAGAAAAAAGTGTCCGCCACTCACTGTGTGACCAATATTATATAGTTCTATATCTTGTATCTCTTTCTATTGACCTTAAAATTCAGATTTTAGAAATGTGAATCTATACTCTTTGTAACCAAAAGGCTTATTATCTTTATCCTCTTAGAAGAGGATATCAAGAAGAAACCTCATACTCTTACATACTTTTAAGTAGGGAAAGGGCAGGATGTAAACAGACAGAGACTTGTGGATGTGGGGGACCTCATAACTCGAAAGGTTTATCTTGCAAGATATGGAGACATCAGGAAACACCAAGTAAAATTGTATCTTTACTGAACAACCCTACCACCATGGATTGCTAAACAACAGTTTACAAACATCCAGGTGGGTTTTCCACGACTGTAATACCGATGTTGGATCTCCTCAATTGTTGGCCTTTCACAAGAAAGATGTCACTGGAATTCCAATTTTAAGTAATTTGAACTTCACCAAGGAAGTCACTGATACGCTAAACTGATGGGTCATTGGAATATAGCGCAAGGTCACAATGGAGATCCGTCACAAGATATTGCCTATAATTATGCATTTGTCACTGATATAAAAGAGGAAAGCTCTGAAAAGAAGACAGTACACTAATTTTTGAATTGGACCAAGCCATCAGCATGTTAACAGTTTAACAAGGTCTAGAAAGCCTCACGCACTAATTTATTAAAGCCACATTATACAACTATATATTGACTAAGAGTGAGAAGCCTCTGATCACATTGTTCTGTCAACACATTATTATTTTCTTTGACACACAAGACAAACAAATTTATTCTTATGATAAAAGAACTAGAATTTCACCTGTAAAAAGGGCAGCCAGTGCACAAGGTTCCAACTACTCTGGCTCTAGGGAGGGCCAGGCATATACAGCCTTAACTCCCACGAGGAGAGGCCATTTTTGTGAATTATAATTTGGCATATATGTCTATACACACACATTTATATTTGACTGAAAGAAAGTTGAAGAACACTCTCACCTTGTATAAAGTTAATTTTCTGCAGTAGGCCTCCGCAGTTTCCTCTTCACAAGCAGACATGATGAGTTCCATGACATACTGCTCGAAACTATCAGCAGCCGGAAATACAGATACAACATCCTCACTAAGATGCTCAGCACTATTTAGGAATGGTTTCTGGAGAAATGATACTTTTAATTAAGCGGCCATACTTCCAAATAAGCATTCCAAACACAATAGTGCATTGACATAATGCAAATAGTCTGTGCAAAAAACCTGGTACAAACTTACCAACTTGTTCCCATAAAGTTTGTGAAGAAGAGATACAGAAACAACAGTTGCATATGGATGCCTCTGGGATAAGATTGGCATGAACATGGTTTTATCTTTATTCAAAAGTTTCTTAGCCTGTTCTGCAAGTACTGCCAAGGGATGTTCATGTGTTGTATCAGATATTGTTTCAACATCATGCAGTATCTGCACAAAGATATCAAAATAATATCAGGAAGAATTTTCCTCAAACCTCATCTGCAAAGACCAAAGGTACTGTATCAAAAAATGTCATAACCATAATGTCTTCACAATTAAGATTAACATCGAATATGTGCGTTGTAGAGAAACTGTTTGATTTGCTTCTCCCGTATTTTCTCTTATGTTGGAGCTATTAACTTGTTTAATATAGTTTATTACTTCTTCACTCTTATTTTTTCTTCTCTTAACTCATTAGACAATCCCACGTGATATTAGATTAGTAGATCCTCTAGGGGCTTCCTGCATTGCCCAGAGCAGCCCATTTAGCTAATGCAAATTGATCATTTGACCACAAAAACCTAATTATATTGCATTTCCGTTTCAGATTTTCAGCTGTAAGGAAATATTTTAGGCCTATTTTGCATATCTTGTCTCCCATAAGGCCTTTATTTAGTATTATCCTTCTATACTAAAGATCAAATTCCAAATTCGATACCACTGTAACCAAATCAATTCAGACTACAGATCAAATTCAAAATTCCATACCACTGTAACCAAATCAATTCAGAAACACAAATTTAGGCAAATGGCAAGATGTACACAAACCGACATCTGGTAATACATATGAGAGGGTGAATGAGGGGAAGAGTGTTGATACAAAAGGCATCCATATGCATGTGCATTCAACGACAAAAAAAAGGTCAGGCAGCTCAGGCTTGGATTGTTAGCAATTATTAAGGCTCCTTCATCAGTCAAAATGTGTTGAAACTCAAACCTGACAGGTCCAAAGGCATAATAGCTCATTCAGCTATTGAATTGTTGAGCTCAAAAGTTCACCTAGCCAAGCTCAAGCATAGGCCTCCTCAAGTCAATTAGGCTTTTTTTTTATAAGAGACATCAATATTATTAATTATAGAAATAAAAAAGTGTTACAAGAACCAAATTAAAGTGGACAAGCCGTCTAACCCTAATGATTGTAAAGAACAAAACAAGAAGCATAAACAATAGTGTTAACAGCATATTACATCCCTCATAATGCTGTTCAGCTTGGTGTTATAATAAAAAGTGGTACATTAGTCACGGATGCCCAAAAAGAGGCCAAGAAAAAAGGTCGGTTCCTCAGTCCATCAACTTCCTCCGATTTATCTTCAAATATTTTTGCGTTTCTCCCCATCCATAAAACTCAAATAATGGCAAAAAAAGCACAATGCCAAAGGTTTTTCCTTTTTTGCTTCCTCCCAACCCTCGAAAATCCAAACAAAACATAGATGACGTATATCTCAGAGCCACCCAACCAATGCCAACGACAATTTTCATTGAATAATTGTAGTTTGCAAGTTACATGTTTTCCAGAAAACCCCCAAACCCTACCACTCAGCTCAGATCTGTTGATTTGCACTATAAATATATGATAACTGCAATATCTTGTTTTGCTTTGAAGTCCTGATTTCTGAATGGTGAGATGACTAAAGGGCTACGGAACACCAATCCAAATGAATTTATTGATCTGCATAAATTTCTGCCTCTATTTTCTTTTGGCTGATTTCTCTTTTTGCCTTTTGTTTTTCCTTGACGACTTCTTGTCCTCTCATGTACTCTTCCAATTTTATTTATACAATCGTGTTTACTGTCAGGGAAAAAAAAAATAAGGAACACCAATCCAAATAAATTGATTGATCCTTAAGGTCTCTTCCCCAGCCACAAAGATGATAAAACATCAAGATATGAAAAAGTCAGTTATCAGTTATCACATAATATGCATATATTAGTACATTGCAACAGGAAGAAAACCTAATAAAATCAAATGCAAAACCACTTACCCTTGAGAATGCATTTTTAATGGATGATGATACATACAACTCGATCTGATCCCCATCTGTGACAGATGCAGACTGCGTTGACTGCAGGGAACACTAAAAGCTTTAATTTGAAAATTGCATAGGTTACCATAAACAACATCATGTATGCTTTTAACAATAATTTAATGGAAACTGTGTAATTAGATTTATATTTATTTTGCTTTTGAGAATAGGGAATTCATCCCAAGCACAATTGAATCTGTTGGCACGTTAAAAATTGTGAGCAAAGAAACAATCATGGATACCAATTCAGGTTCTTCAAGCAGTAGCCTCCGAGCAACCATTGCAACTATTACTGTGTTTTCCATCATTGCTGACCCCTACAATGCACAGGAGAAATATATTACAGTTTGTTGCAGATCTAGGAAAACAGAGACAGTGAAATATACATGAAGGCAGGCAAAGCAGTTATTCAGGCGAGCAGAAGAAATATGTAACAGAATGTTTGTCAAAGATTATATGATAAAGACGTTTTAATTACCAATCGGAATGTATATAGCTAGAAGATGTTTCAATGTTCAACTTAAAAGTAGAAGAGGGAGAAAAAAAGATCATACCCTGTTGTTGTGCAATCAATATACCACAACACAGGGAAAAAGGCAACTGTTGCTTCCTACTGTAAGACAAAAAAACAAATGTAATCCAACTGATTTCAAGTTTCAACCAACAGAGCAGGTGTGGACTTTCTCAAACCCAAGGAACTAAATTTCGTTTTGAAACGTCCGAAATGAATCATTGATTGATTATTAGAATTCTTATTTTTTGAGATATTTCAAAGTATTTCGGCAGCTTTCGAGGTGTTTCAGCATGTTTTGACCTATGGTTCGAAATGTTTTGGTATTTTTCGACCAATGTTTTGAAAATAAATTTTAAAATTTTTCTTTGGTTCCATCTTGTTTCCGAAATGTTTTCGAAACATTACCAAATGCTTCCATTTCCAAGCTCACCGAAACTGTTCACTAAAACGAAATTTTGATGCTTGCACCTATGTATGTCGACCTTTGTGTAATCACTATTCTCACTAAGCCTATGAATTATGATTTGGTTCAATTGAATGTTAAAAAGATTGAAACCAAGCATTCCTTCTTCATTCACTAGGTCTAAAACATACTTCACTGAGAAGCAAAAACTGCTTTATGTGATTCTTCAATCTCTATTCTTTGGAAATATTTCATTTACCCAAATCCTTTGTCTCAAATTCCTTGACCAAATATAACTTCAAAACTTGCACCTCTTCAACATCATCACCAGTTATTCATAAAATGATAACATCATTTACATAGACCAAAAGCACTCTAACCTTTTGTTGCCTGAGTGTGATGTACCTGCTGCTACTGATACCCATACTTCTCATAGATGTACTAAATCTCTCAAATCAAGTTCGAGGAGGTTGTACCAATCCATAAAGAGACTTCTTTTAACTTACTGAACTTCCCTTTAGAAGATGGATACTAGGAGACACATCCATGTACTCTTACAGATCACCATGAAGGAGACATTTTTTAGGTCTAGTTGTTGAATAGACCTTCCAAATTTGCTACCAAGGAGAGCAACACTAATGGTATTCATCATAGCCACTGGTGCAAAAGTTTCTTGACACTCGATGCTTGTTTTTATTTGTTCTATATTATGTTTCTAGTAGTGTCAATTTAAAATCTTAGATCATATCTTGGTAGTTTATTAGTAGATTAGTATATTCATTCAAAATTGTCGTTTGGGTCTATTTTTTAGGTATTGGGTGAAGGGGTTTGAGAAATGGTATAATGGTCTCATACCATCCAATAACTGTACGAAGCTGCTTGTATGCTTCATAACATAAAGAACTAGAATCTCTTTATCCTAGGTGTGGAGCTTGCAAATTCCAGAGCATGCTGTACTACTTTTGTTTCTCTTTCATCTGTTATTTGATTATATAGGGTTTCTTGTGCACTGGCTGAGTTGTCTGATTTCATCTATTGGTGTGCTTGTGGAGGGTGGGGCCAAAATGCCTATTTTGCTGGGAAAACCTTGGAAACGAAAAAGATACTAGGCCCCTTAAGTAGTTGGTAATCTTCTAGAAAAGAAGTCTCATGTCACGATGTTGTGCTTCAATGCATAGGTTTGAACAAAGAACTAAATTTCGTTTTGTTTTCATTTCCATAGAAACCGAAACGAA